AGTGCTGCAGAGGTCAGAAGAGGGCTTCAGATTCCCTTGGAACTGGAGTTAAGGACGGTTCATAGCTGCCATGTGGGTGCTGGGAATCGAACCCGGGTCCTCTGCAAGAGCAGTCAGTGCTCTTAACCGAGCCATCTCTCCAGTTCGAGGGACAAATTTTTAAAAAATTATTTTTATTTTATGTGTATGAATGTTTTGCCTGCATGCACGTAAGTGTGCCCATGTATGCAATGCCCAGAGAGGCCAGAGAGGGTGTTGGATTGCCCAGAACTGAAGTTACAAATGGTTGTTAGCCACAATATGGATGCTGGGAATCGGACCTGTGTTGGATTCCCTGGAACTGGAGTTACAGGTGGAGTTAGCCACAATATGAGTGTTGAGAATCAAATCTGGGTCCTCTGGAAGAACAGTAAGTGTTCTTTAACCACTGAACCATCTCTCCAGGCCTGAGACTAATTTTTTTGAGACAGAGTCTCACTATGTAACCCTGGCTGGCCTAGAACTGCCTCTGCCCTCGAGTGCTGGGATGAAAGGCATGCACCACCCCGCCTAGCCTCAAGTGAAGTTTTAATAACATTCTATTTACATTTATAAAATCTTATTTCCTCAAGGAACCTCTTTCTCAGGTACTCTTCCAAAATTCCTTCTTCGAATAGCTACTAAGAGGAAAACAAGGCAGGGGCAGGCGGATCTCTGTGAGTTCAAGGCCAGCCTGGTTTACGTAGTGAGTTCCAGTCCAGCTGGGGCTATAGGGAGACCCTGTCTCAAAAAAAGACTCCTCCCCCAAAAAGAGGAGAACAATTTTCCCTAGCTATTGTCTGAAGTGTTCCCCCCCAAAGGCCCATGTGATAAGGGCTTGGACTCGGCTTATGTTACTATCAGGAGGTGGCAGACCCTTAAAGAGATGAACCTCGTTAAAAAAGATTAAGTTCAATGGGAATGGCCCTTAAAGATTGATACTGAGACTCCAGTCCATACTCTTTGCCACTTGCCATGAGACAAACAGGCCTTCTCTACCCCACGTTCCCTCCACAATGTGCTGTGCCACTTTGCTTTTAGTGTAAGCAACCACAGACTAAAACCTCCAAATCTAAGCCACAGTAAATCTCTCATCTTCCCAAATGATTATCTCAGGGGTTATCACAGACCTGACATATACCCTGCTCCCTACATACATTTAATTTTGAACCCACATATTCCACACCTGGATCTAATCTTATTGTAATCTGGTTTTTTCCCTATACTGTGGGAACAATAATACCAACAGAATTAGAAAGATATACCATGAATGAATATGCAAGTACTAAGAAAAGATGACCACGACCAATACACCAACTCTCAGATGCAACTATCTGTCCACAGAATCTAGTATTCTTAGAGCAGGAAGGATCCCAAGGCATTCAATTCTTTTTTAAAAAATTTTATTATTTTTATTTTATGCGTATGTGTGTACTGCCTGCGTGTAGGTAAGTGCACCCGTGTTGTGGAATGCCCATGGACGTCAGAAGAGGCTGTTGGATACCCTGGGACTGGAGTTATGAACAGTTGTTAGCAGCCATGTGGGTGCTGGGTTTCGAACCCCGGTCTTCTGCAAGAACACCAGTGTTCTTAACCACAGAACCATCTCTCCAGCCCCAGCATTCAATTCTTGTTCATGCCAACTTGAACATAGTCTGAGCACAATTCAATACTCAGATGGTTACCTGAATTAACCAGAGAGTCTGTGGGAAATAATTTTTTTGCACCATTAGTATCTCTCAAAGAATAAGTCTATTCTTCTCCATAGGTAACATAATAGAAAGAGTCTATTTAGTATGCTATACTACTTCATTACAAAGAAGCATTTGAAAGCCAGGCGTGGTAGAACATGCGTTTAGTCCCAGTACTCAGGAGGCAGAGGCAGGTGGATCTCTGTGAATTCAAGGCCAGCCTGGTCTACATAGTGAGTTCTAACTGAGACTACAGGGGGAAAAAATTATTTTTTTATGTGTATGAGTGTATTGCCTGCATGTAAGTGCACCCATGTCACGCAATGCGCATGGAGGTCAGAAGAAGGCGTTGGATCCCTTAGAACTGGAGTTATGGATGGTTGTTAGTTGCCATGTGTGCTGGAAATTAAACCTGGGTCTTCTGCAAGAGCAACCAGTGTTCTTAATAGCTGAGCCACCTCTCCAGCCCTGAAGTATTTGATTTTAACTCGGAGACAAAAAAAAAAAAAGAAAAAAAGAAAAAAGACCAAATTTAAGAGTGTAAGATCACTTCTGTAGGAAGAGAAAACAAAGATTTAGGCATGGTAAAGCATGCCTGAATCCGACTAAGTATTAGGAGACCAAAGCAGGAAGATCACAACGATCACAAACTTGGGGCCAGCCCAGGCTGTATAGCAAGACCTTGCCCAAAACAGAGACTATGGAGACCAAGTCTTCATTACATTATATATTGGCCCATATTATTTCTTAGGGAGATTTAAACTATCTTAAAAGTATTTATAGCTCTAAAGAAACCGGGGGTGGCCAGGCGTGGTGGTGTAAGCCTTTAGTCCCAGCACTTCAAGGCCAGCGTGGTTTACATAGTGAGTTCCAGGCCAGTTGGAGCTACAGGGAAACCGTGTCTCAAAAAGACCAAAAATTTAAAAAAGTATTTATTAAATATATATGTATGTATATATATATGAATGTATGAAATTTATTATATCTGTAAGACCTATCAGGTAGATTTGAGGTAGTTGAGAATAAATACATAAAAAAGGACAGGCATGATGATGCACACCTGTAATCTAAGCCTGGGAAGACAGAGGCAGGAGAATCATGAGCTCAAGTCCAGTCTAGTTCAGGCTATAGAGCAAGTCTAGGTTAGCCTAAGCTGTACAGTGAGACCCTGTTTTAAAAACAACCAAACAAACACCCCCTCCCAAGAAACACCCACCCCCAAATAAGATCAGTTAACAACAAAAACTCCAAACAAACAACCAGTAATAAATATATAAAAAAAATTTTTTTAACCCCCAAAAATTCACAACCATGGTATCACTGGTAAAAGACTAAATGCCTTTGCCCTAAAAGGAGACCAGAGTGTCTACTCTTGCTTCATCTGTTCAGTATTTCACTGGAGGATCTGACCACAGTAAATGAAACACACCCAAAGGGAAAGAAATAAAATGATCTCCACATATTCAAGGATGACAATTCTTTGTATACACAAGATCCTAAGGAATCCACTAGAAAACCATAGTAACTAATAAACAAATTTAGCAACATAGCAAGCTACAAGATTTAAATGCAAAAATCTTGTTTTTCTATACACTTATGATGGTTAATCTAAAGAGAAAACCAATTTCATTTAAAACAGCAAAATACTTAGGAGTATACTTAATGAAATATAAAACTTTTTCTCTGATAACTATAGAAAGAAAAGAAAGGCCTATATAGATATTTTATGTTCACAGATGAGGTTTAATAATAAAATAGCAATACTCTTGAAAAATTCTACAAGCTCAACATAATCACTATCAAAATCCAGTTCATTTCTTCTCAAAAATGGACACACTGATTCTGAAATTCACACAAAAACTCAAAGGACCCAGAATGATCAAGACAAACCTGAAAAGGAACAAAGGTGGGAGACTGACAAACTTCTGAACTTACTACAAGGCTACAGAATGAACACAGTATAGGACTGGCGAAAACAGACATACAGATCAGTAAAACAGGTTTAAAAAAAAAAAAACAACCTTTTTTTTTGTTTACAGTCGACTGATTTTGAACAAGAAAGATGATTTATTAATGAATAGTCCTAGATACCCACATGCAAAATGAAGTTGACCCTCTTAAATTCCATGTAAAAATTATTCTAAGTGCATGAAAATTCTAAATGTAGATAAAACTACAAAACTTTTATCAGACAGAAATGCTAATGACCTTAGATATAACACCAAAAACATACAGCAAGTAAAAAGAATAAACTAAGTAGTACTAAAATAAAAAGATTAGTGCCTCAAAATATAAGATCCAGTAAGAGAAAAAACAGGAGTCAATTTTTTTTGATAAACTGTATCATACATAAAAATATAAAAAACTTGGGGCTGGAGAGATGGCTCAGTAGTTAAGAATACTGACTGCTCTTGCAGAGAACCCGGGTTCGAGTCCCAGCACCCACATGGCTGTTTACGAACCATCCTTAACTTCAGAGTTCCAGGGGAGTCTGGAGCCCTCTTCTGACCTCCGCGGCATTGCATAACACAAGTGCACTCACACACATGCAGGCAATACACTCATACATGTAAAATAAAAATTTAAAAAAAAAAAAAAGGCTTAGGTTGCATTTTCCCGGGCTTAAAGTTTAAAAACAACACATACCAGATGACGGGGGAAGGCATTTGCGCTTGTTCCCCTTTTTGGAGACAGGGTCTCACTACATAGCCCTGGCTGGTCTGGAACTTGCTTTGTAGACCAGAATGGCCTCTAACTCACAGAAACCTGCCTACCATTGCCTCCTGGGTACTGGGATTAAAGTTGTGTACCACTCTGCCTGACCTGCCCTGTTTCTTTTTTTGAAACAGTCTCACTATGTAGTCCGAGCTGGCCTGGAACTTGCTATATAGAACAGGATGGCCTTAAAATCACAGAGATCCATTTGCCTCTGCCTCCTGGGTGTTGGGATTAAAGGCATTGCCCAGCCTGGCCAACACACTGCCCCATCATACATAATTTTTTTAAAATAAGAAAAGGATCTGAATAGACATCTGTTCAAAGAAAATAAATGGCTAATAAGCATAAGAAAAGATGCTTAGTTCATTAACTATCAGAGAAAGGCAAATCAAAACCACTCGAGATAGCACTTCACGCCCACTAGAAAGGCTATAATCAAAGAGACAGTAACAAGTGTGTTAGCTAGCTATGAAACATGGACAGCTTTTCTTATAGACAGACTGACAATGCACTCTCATAGACTGCAGAAATGATCTGCTTTTTGATAGAGCAAGAACTAATACTAGAGTGCTATTAGCAAGAACAGCCTGATTTCATGCCCAGTCTCCAGGTGCACTCTTCTATCTTACCCCTCATCAGTTATGTATTTTTCTCAAGAGAAAACAGAAATACTTAGGAAAGATCATTTGATTTGTAGTGAATCTGGATCCTTGTATATGCTATTAGGGATAGTGTCAGGATGTTTTGACTGTTCACACCCAGACAAAATTCTAAGTGGTAATTGAAAATTTCATTACATACTTACCAAAATCTACCCTTGTCAATATGCACTGCATCGGGTGGTCAGTCGTGTGCCTTGTTGTTGTTGCCCCACTCTCATAACAAGATGCACAAAGATCGTAATCGTAGCAAATTAAACACTTATATCTGCGACCTCGAAAATTTCCTTTTAAACATGCATCACAGCTGACACCTATAAAACAAAAAGAAATACCTTTAATTAGCAGCTAAAAAGAAGGCCACTCTCTAGTTCAACTTTATAATGTTTAAGGGTTCATTTAAACCCATGGAGCCTTTCCAAAATGACTAGACCACCACAGTGAAATGATACAGGCCTTCTAGCAGTATGGTAGACTCACTACTTAGTAAAGACAGATTTATACTCCTAATGAAAATAACTTGAAGCTGGGTGGTGGCAGCACTTTGGGAGACAGAGACAGAAGGATCATAGCAAGCTGAGGCTAGCCTCATTTACATAGCAAGTTCAGGACAGTCAGGGCTTACTGGCAAGATTCTGTCTCAAAAAGCCCCTGTTAAACAATGCCTTAATAGACTATAAAGAGGGTAAAAATCAAAGGAATGAGAACTGAGAGCTGAAAGCACTAAAAGTGGCTCTCTTAGCCGAAGGGCGTTTGCCAAAACAGGTAAAAATCTGAGCTTAGAGTTCCTCAGTGCTCTGGGACAAGCACAAATGTCTGCCAATGGAGACCCTAACCTACCTATCCTCAATGTACAGGTGGGTTGGATAACCTCCCTAGGCCATCACAAAAACTGCCTTGGAGAAGTTTCCCAACCATAGCTGGGGGACAGGGAGCAGAAAAAAGGTAAAATTCCAGAAAAATTGTAATTGCAAAGTAGTACCCATACAGGTTCACAGCCCAATTTTGTCAAATGGCTCAGAAATACTACCAAGAATCTGGCAGAAATAAAATTCCAAAGAGTGAGTACCCTTTAAGTTCATACAAAGAACTAGGGGAAGAAACACTACAACCAGGCTGTCAGGAGTTCATACCAGAAATGGAAATCAACTCCTTAAATACTAATTAATCTTCTTTTTGGGGGGGGAGGCTTAGACAGGCTGGCCTTAAACTCATGATCCTCCTGCTTCAGCCTCTCAGGTGTTGAGATTACAGGTTTATGGGTGTGCACCAATGTTCCTGGCCTCCTAAATAATATGTATGTTAAAAGAGAAGCTTCAAGAGTCAGACAACAAATCTACAAATGAACCAAATAATTTGAGTTTCAAAACTTTTTAAATTCAAGTCAAAGGGACCGTGTGTGGCAGATCTCTATGAGATCAAAGCCAATCTGGTCTACAATAGGGAGTTCCAGGCTAGCTAGGGCTACAGGGACACCCTGTCTCAAAAAGACCAAAGAATGGGGCTAGAGAGATGGATCAGCAGTCGAGAGGTCCTCTTGTAGAGGACCCAGATTTGGTTCCCAGCATTCCCATGGTGGCTAACAACAGTCTGTAGCTCTAGTTCCAGGGGATCTGACGCCCTCTTCTGACCTCCACAATCATTGCATGACATGGATGCATTTACATACAGGCAAAACACTCATATACATAAAATAAAAATAAAGTATTTTTTAAAAAGTCAATCAAGGGCCGGGTGTGGTGGTGCATGCCTTTAATTACAGCACTCGGGAGGCAGAGGCAGGCGGATTTCCGTGAGTTCAAGGCCAGCCTGGTCTACATAGTGAGTTCCAGGACAGCTGGGGCTATAGGGAGACCCTGTCTCAAAAAGACCAAAAAAAAAAAACACCAAAAAAACCCACACCCTTCACTCATAGGTGACATGTTTACACAGAAGACCCAGAGTTGAATTCAGAATGAAGTATTAGGCAAGTATGCTATAACACAAAGAACAGCTTAATAAAACATTAATACAAAGAACAGCTTAATAAATTAATAGTATTTCTTTAAACAAAGACAGAAAATATTTTTTTAAAGTCATTTATTAGTCGAATTCACAGAGAAAGTAGAATATTGATTATCAGGGGTTGGGGAACGGGCAATAGGAATGATTGTCCAATGAGTTTCAGTTTGAGAGGTGGGTATTCTGGAAATGGCTAAATGATGACAACAATGCAAATGTCACAATGAAAGGCTGGTCATTTTCAACAGCATTTGGAAAAAACAGCAATGAGTAAACCTAGCCAAAGGGAGAACGCCCTTCGTGAAGTAAACTAGTAAAAATGTATTCAAAGACATGAAAAGATTTTTTAATACTATAAAAAAAACTTGGAAGAGGGAGGGGGTTAGGAAGTGGCACAAGCATGAGGATCTGAGTCCCCAGTATCCACCCATGTAAAAAGTCAGGCACAGCAGTGCACACCTGTAATCCTAAGAGGATCTCTGGGGTTCCCTAGTCAAACAGCAGACTCAACGTTCAGTGAGACCTCCTGACTCAGCACACAGGAGGCAGAGGCAGGTGGATCACTGTGAGTTTGAGGCCAGCTTCATCTACACAGTGAGTTCTAAGCAGTTGTGAGTTCTAAGCAGTGTGGCTACAAAGTGTGGACCAATCCAAAAAGAGTTAGGGAAAAGATTAAAGAAGACACCAAAAGGCTGGCTTCTTCCACACAAATATGCATATGCACCAACTCTCTTCTCCCCCCACCCCCCCCACACTTGGAGGGACAGAGGGAGGAAGGGAGAGAGGGTTTAGAAAAGCGAAGGAGAGGTACAGGAGGGAATAGAGAAAAGCCAAGCAGAGCCCAGCCCAGTCACGTAGAGATAAAACAAAAGGCTGCACATATTGAAGACTCTGACGGCAAGGTCACCATAGATCAGTGGGGAGAGGAGCGGCAAGGCAGTGAATAGTCTTTAAAAACTTATTAAGTAGATCTTGGCTTAAAGACAAACGCAAAGAGAAAGTGGGAAAAACTATGAGGCCCGAAGTTAGAACGCAGAAACAAGAAGATGGAAAAGGAGGCTGGCTAACCTGGCTTCAGAGTGAGACCCCCCCGCCAAAGGCATTTTCATGACTTCAGAGTTCTAGGAAACGATTTGCTAAATCTCAATCTCACTGACACAATAGCCCAAACTATAAAGAGGTAAAGTTAACTACATTCCAAGTAAAACTAAACCTCTTCCTTCATATTTTAACACTCCAGAGAGTTCCCAAGCTAGTTATGAAACAGGGCAGACTAAAAGTTTGGAATTTAGAATACGTTTGAAACTTACCTAATGAGCAGGAAAATGACTAAGAGAAAACTGAACAAATTGCCAATGGGCACCAGAAAGAACAAACACAAGGAAACGAAAGATGCTCAATCTGACTCGTCACCACATACAAATAAAACCATTATTAGCTATGGTGTTACATGCAGCAAAGTTGGATGCTCTCAGTGCTAGGGAAGACAAGAAGCTGTAGCAGTTAATTCAGACCTTGGTGGTAACTTTACATCACAGAGCCATTTTGTTCAGTCCAAATACTTCCCATGACATTACAAACTCACTCATATTCCCAAGGACTCTTTTGTCCCTGCATGTATTACGGCTTGAATCTGGAATGCCTTCCTAGGCTCATGTGTTGGTGACAGCCTTGAAATGCTGTGGAACCTTTGGGACATGTGGCCCATCAGCAGGAAATGGTCGCTGGGGGTGGGCCTTGAAGGCCACAGCTGTGTCTGGTTCTGCTCAAGCTCTGACATGAACAGCCACTCTGTCTTACACTACTGCTGCTGTGCCTACCTTCCCCACTGACCTGTGAGCTCCAAAAACCTCTCTTCCAGTAAGTTGCTTCTGTCAGGTATTTTGTCCTAGTGACTAATATATACGCAATAATATATTCTAGGTGCTGGATATACAAATGAACAAAACCAAGTTCTGCTTCTGCAGGGTTAGTTAGACCAGCATTAAAAAGTTTGAAGCATATTAGAAATTAAGTGCTACGAAGAAAAAACTAACAGAGGGCTAAGTAGTATGGGCAGAGAATGCCTCACTAAAGAAAGATGCCATTTAAGCAAAAAGAGGAAATACACCCAGATATGGTGGCACACTCCTGTAATATCAGTAACTAGGGATGCTGAGGCAGGAGGATCACACCTAAGAGGTTAGGTTGAGCTATAGAGCAATACTTTTTAAAAAAAGTAATAATAAATTTTTAAAAGATGAAATATTTCAGGCTGGAGAGATGGCTCAGCAGTTAAGAGCACTGACTGCTCTTGCAGAGGACCCAGGTTCGATTCCCAGCACACACATGGTAGCTACGAACCGTCCTTAAGTCCAGTTCCAGGGGAATCTGAAGCCCTCTTCTGACCTCCGCAGCACTGCATGACATGGGTGCACTCACACACATGCAGGCAACACACTCATACACATAAAATAAAAATAAATATTTTTTTAAAAAGATGAAATATTTCAAAGTAATATTTGAAAATAGCTTCCAGCATGTCAATTCTTCAAGCTAAGCATAACACTAAAAACAGAAACATCTACTTTTTGTATAGAATAAACTTGACAATACTGACTGAGCTGAGCTGCCATCTGGACACTTAACTTTTCAGTGTATTGCCTGACGGATTTCCCACTCAAAACTGAGTCACGGGTTCAGTGGTTAAGAGCACTGGCTGTTCTTGCAGAAATATGCAGGCATAACACTTATGCATACACATTAATAGATTAAAAATATTTTATTATTTTATGTGTATAAGTGTATTACCTGCATGTATGTGAGTGCACCTGTGCTGTGCACAGAGATCAGAACAGGGCTTTGGACTGCCCTGAACTGGAGTTAAGGACAGTTTATGGCCGCCATGTGGGTGCTGGGAATCGAACCCGGATCCTCTGCAAGAGCAGTCAGTGCTCTTAACTCCTGAGCCATCTCTCCAGCCCCAACACTCATGCACATTAAAAAAAAAAAAAAGTCACTTCTAAGTATGTTGGGTGTGGTGGCGCACACCTTTAGTCCCAGCACTCTGGTAAAGGTGCTATTTCCTATTAGAGAAAAAACAAGTTAGTTTTTTGTTCTAATTCCTTATTACCAAATGGTGCTACCTGATACCAAGCAGCTCAGGGAAATTTTAAACAGATCACTGGATACATGAAACCATCAATTCCTTAAAAGAAGGAATAGAGCTGCTCTGAGGTGGTATCAGTAAGTCATGGTTAAAACTCTATGGAATGGGAATGGTAGTATATGTGTGTAGCCCCAGAATCGGGAGACTGAAGCAGTACTGCAAGTT